ACTCACACATGGTAACTCCCAGCACTCTCGGAGGCTCGGCAGGTAGGAGAATTGCATTGAACCCGGGAGGCGTGCGAGTTCTGCAGCGTGAGCTGAGATTGTGGACAACTCCGCGAGCGCGTAGCCTGCGGTTGACAGCACGCACACCGACTTCGTCTCAAGAAAAAAAGAAAAAATTGCTGGCCATGGTGGCTGTGTATAGCCGCACCCAGCTACGTTCCCAAGAGCGCTGACGACCCAGGACGAATTGGCTTGACCTCACCGGGAAGGCCCGTAGTTGCGTAAGGAGATCTGACCCACCATGCAACTCCAGCTTGGGCGCAGACGCAAGACTCTCCGTCTCAAAAAAAAAAAAAAAGCGTGTAGCCTACCATGAAAAAAAAAAAAAAAAATACTGATTTCCTTCCTTTTGTCAATTGTTGTTTACAGTAATATTCATACGACTCAGAGGATAGGTGGGTTGGCTAAATAGCAATGTGAGTATGTCACTAAGCAAATTGTATGCCCTTCTAAGCTTTTTAAAAATTAATATTGGATGGTTTTATTTTTCTTGGAACCATATCAACTTGATGGGTATGGTTTCTTAGAATTTAGACTCCTGTGCAACTGACACATAAAAAAATCACCCACTTACTGAGTGGGTGTAGTGAGCTATGCACAGAACAAATGTTAAAATATTTGACAACTTTGAAATTACTCCAATAAACCTGAAAACAGTTATATTTATACCTAGATTATAAAGTATTTAAGGCCAAGGACATTTTTCTTCTCTTCTATAGTTATGTCAATTAGCTATTTTATTTCCAGGGACCACAGTGCCTACCCCACTACCACCTTTGTTCTGCGAGCTCTCACTGTGGTGGACATGTGATTGATGTTGAAAGAAAGTCAGCCAATATAAAGCTGTTGTGTGTTTCATGCCTAACACATTGTAAACTAGACTGTAAAGGTCTTGTGGATAGAGACCATACGTTTTGCCATATCAGCATATTCCGTAGTATCTAGGAAAATGAATGCTGTGCAATATTATTTTATTCATCAAATATATACTGTATGCTAGATACTGTGCTAAGCTCTGAGGATATCTCAGTGAACTGGACAGATGTGGCTTTTGCTGTTGTAAAATTTATAATCTAACAGAAAATGTTTATGAATTCCTGTAATCAAAATAATGGCCCATACTGAAACATTTAAGCAGTTAAAAGCATTGTGTATGTAAAGAGTTTAATAATTTTGGCCGGGTGTGGTGGCTCATGCTTGTAATCCCAGCACTTTGGGAGCCCGAGGTGGTGGATCACGAGGTCAGGAGTTCAAGACCAGCCTGGCCAAGATGGTGAAACCCCGTCTGTACTAAAAATACAAAAATTAGCCCAGCGTGGTGGCAGCTGCCTGTAATCCCAGCTGCTTAGGAGGCTAAGGCAGGGAAATCACTTGAACCCGGGCAGCAGAGGTTGCAGTAAGCCAAGACTGCACCACTGCACTACTGCACTCCAGCCTGGGTGACAGAGTGAGACTCCATCTCTAAATAATAATAATATTTAATAATTATTATTATTTAAGCTATGTTTCTTGTGATTTAAATTCATGCTATAAAAAGGAAATAGTGGTATTATCTGATGTTTTTTCCTCTTTGCTTTTCTTTGTAGATAAGATGCTCCCAAGTCCCTTGCAGCTCTCTTCAGAAGAAAAATCACTAGTGCTCTGCTCTTGCCGTAATACCAAACCTTTTTGACTCATGCTTTGGTGCTGCAACACTGGAAGAATTGCACACAATTTCCAGGAATATCTTTTTTTCATTTGAGTGATTCTTTGTGGATGAAAAAAGATTTGAGTCTTAATAATTACCTTGTTTTAAAGCTATTTTCTTTATAGTCTGAACTGCTTAATAAATTGGGCCACTTACCAATGAGCCACACAGCCAGTTCTTGTCAGGAACTGGTTGAAAACTGTGCTGTGCATGTAGCAGGAATGGCACAAGAAGATAGCCGTCGTGGTCAAGTGCCATCTTCCTTTTATCATGGTGCCAACCAAGAACTTGACCTGTCCACCAAAGTGTACAAAAGGGAGTCAGGAAGTCCTTATTCTGTGTTAGTGGACACGAAGATGAGCAAGCCACATCTCCATGAAACAGAAGAACAGCCGTATTTCAGGGAGACAAGAGCAGTGTCTGACGTGCATGCTGTTAAGGAAGACCGGGAGAATTCTGATGACACAGAAGAGGAAGAGGAAGAAGTCTCTTACAAAAGGGAGCAGATCATAGTGGAGGTAAACCTTAATAATCAAACCTTAAATGTGTCTAAAGGGGAAAAGGGTGTCTCTTCTCAGTCCAAAGAGACTCCTGTTCTTAAGACAAGCAGTGAGGAGGAAGAGGAAGAGAGTGAGGAAGAGGCCACAGATGACAGCAATGACTATGGAGAGAATGAAAAGCAGAAGAAAAAGGAGAAGATAGTAGAGAAAGTCAGCGTTACACAAAGGAGAACCAGGAGAGCTGCCTCTGTTGCCGCAGCTACCACTTCCCCTACTCCCAGAACTACAAGAGGTCGTAGGAAGAGTGTAGAGCCACCTAAGCGTAAGAAGCGGGCCACAAAGGAGCCCAAAGCACCAGTCCAGAAAGCTAAGTGTGAAGAGAAAGAGACTCTGACCTGTGAGAAGTGCCCCAGGGTATTTAACACTCGCTGGTACCTGGAGAAGCACATGAACGTTACTCACAGGCGCATGCAGATTTGTGATAAATGTGGCAAGAAGTTTGTCCTGGAAAGTGAGCTGTCCCTTCACCAGCAAACAGACTGTGAAAAAAACATTCAGGTAGGTTTCATCACCGAGAGGGCAAACTTTTCAGGATAAAACCTGGCTGTTCAGATTCATCTGGTATCCGCCCAAGAGAATAAATACAATAGAGGCTGAAAGGACAGATTTCACCAATTTATCATTTGAAAAGCTCCTGCTTTGGTCTTTTCTAAACCAAGGCTTTTATTTCGAAAGCATTAAGTTTGACGCTGGACTAGTGGGAACCCAGGCACACTGGAAGGGGGATCTGTTATAGTTGATTGACCAGGAGGTTAAAATCAACACCAACTTTGCACTGAGATTCACTGTTGTAGGACATGTAATAGAATTCATTCTGGCATCTTCTCTGTGGAGGTAGGAGTTACTGATTAAAGGTTAGGAGTAGAGAAAGGTCCCTTTCTGGGTTTATAATGATGCCAGATTCTAGTACAGCTGATGGGGACAAAAACCATCATGACTCAGACCGGTGGAAATGGAAGATCTTCAGCAGTGAGTTTGCTTTTACCATTGGAGAGATGACAACACTAAATTTGCCAAGAGGCTGAGCCCATGGGAATATGCAAACTTTAAGCAGAGGCTGAGCTGGTTGAAAATGTTGCCCACCTGGCACTAGGTTTACATAATGCCACTGTACAGTATTGTTAAGGTAACAAAATAATGGTATTCAAACCAGGTTGGTGTCGTGAAAGGACTATATTGTGATAGGTTAAAGAGGTATGCTAATTATATTATGTCAAATGGATTGCAGTTATATTGGTTTGCACATGTGAATGCATATTAATGAATATAAGAGGTAAGTCTATTCATATCTCCATAAGATATGTAACAGAAATATTTTGTACTATATTTAAGCTAAACTTATAAAGGATAAATTGTGTTGGTTTGTTTTGTTTTTTTGGTGTGGTTCTAATATTGGTAGTTACTTTTTAAGTTTCACTTTTCTTTCATTGCTTTTAATCAACAACTGAGATCATTGCTTTACTTTAAAGAGTTTTAAAAAATGGAAATTGCATTTGCTAAAAATTCACCGCTTTTAATTCATCAGTTGTGACTTGATCTCCGACACGCTGGGTAAATAAAAGAAGACTGAGTCATGGATCCCATATCCTCCGGTAACTGCCAGTGCCCTGGCTTGGATAGGAGTTGTCTGCAACACTTCAGGCCAAAGGGAGTGTGGTGCACTGCTGCGCGCTAGGGAGTGTGGTGCACTGCTGCGCGCTAGGGAGTGTGGTGCACTGCTGTGCGCTAGGGAGTGTGGTGCCCTGCTGTACACTAGGGAGTATGGTGCACTGCTGCGTGCTAGGGAGTGTGGCGCACTGCTGCACTCTAGGGGTCAAACTTGGATTCTGTAATGATCCGTTACTGAAAGTGTTCTTGATCTTTATATATAGGTTTTGTGGGGTGTTTTTTTTTTTTAAACTTAAATCTGTTTAAGTTACAGAAAAGAAAACATTTAATAAATACTTTTTGTGTGTGACTTTCCTCACGATTCTTCATCATACTACTTTTAAATTTGTGTTTTAAGTTTTGTGGATTCTGTTAAATGAACTTCATTCAAATTCCTAAAAAACACTGTACTTTGTTCTTATGTATAGATCCTAATAATCCTGATGACCTGGTAACAAGTAAAAACTAAAACCCCAGGCTGGGCATGGTGGCTCACACCTGTAATCCTAGCACTTTGGGAGGCCAAGACGGGTGGATCACCTGAGGTCAGGAGTTCGAGACCAGCCTTACCAACATGGAGAAACCCCGTCTCTATTAAAAATACAAAATTAGCCAGGCGTGGTGGCGCATGCCTGTAATCCCAGCTACTCGGGAGGCTGAGGCAAGAGAATCGCTTGAACCTGGGAGGCAGAGGTTGCAGTGAGCCGAGATCGCACCACTGCATTCCATCCTGGGTGACAGAGCGAGACTGTGTCTCAAAAAAAAAAAAAAAAAAAACTAAAACCCTGCCCTAAGGCTGGGTGCAGTGGCTCACGCCTGTAGTCTCAGCACTTTGGGAGGGTTGCCTGAGCCCAGGAGATTGATCCTGCAGTAAGCCATGATAGCACCACTACATTCCAGCCTGAGCAGCAGAGTGAGACTGTCTAAACAACAACAACAAAAAACCTGCCCTACAAAATGTCTGATAGTAGTAGTCTGTCCTTTTCTAGAGCATTTTCCAACCAGAGGTTTATATTTTAACTCTTAGAGTTCTTGTTTCCTGAAGTGACAGTGATGTTTAGAGAGATCTTTATTTACAGTGAATTATTTACATGTTCCCATAAGTGTCCAAAAGCCTAATGATTACCAAGAGCTTTCTAGTATTGTTTTGCTTTAACTAGAAATACTCTGATACACATGATGCCTAATATTACAGGCTATTAATGATTCATGATACAAGGAGCTAGGCAGTGTAGCATGTGTTTTCTACAGATTCTTGCAAGAGAGCTCTGGAACTGGTCTGTAAGGGAAAAGGGATAGACTTTAGTTAATTAAAGTTTAGACCAAAAAAAACTTTTAAAAATTTTTAAGAGTGAGCTGGTGGGCAATAGCTCCACACTGTATCTCAGCACCTTTGGTAGGCCGAGGGCAGGGAGTACGATAGGGTCAGGAGTGAGAACAATGGCAACATTGTGAAACTACGTCCTCTACTAAAATACAAAAATTCAGCCAGGCACTGGTGGGCACTGCTCTCGGCCGAGCTGGGAGCGACAGAGAATCGCTTGAACCTGGGAGGGGAGGGTGGGTAGCCGAGATCACGCCACTTGCACTCCAACCCTGGTGGGACCAGAGTGAGACTTCCATCTCAAAATATATAATAATACATTTAAAAGGAGAGAGTGATATAAGAGTTTAGAGGTATATTCTGCAGAAGGAAGGTTTGACAATTGTAAATTAGGATTGGCCGGAAATACTATAACATTTCAATATTTCATGTTAATAAATGCCCAAATGCATTTTTTTTTTTTTTTTTTTCTGAGACAAGTCTCCTCTGTTGCCGCGGCTGGAAAGATACAGTGTGCGGCGATCTTGCGCTCACCCACAATCTCCGCCTCCCAGCGTTCAAGCAATTCTCCTGCCCTCAGCTCCCGAGTAGCTGGGATTACAGGCATGCGCCACCCATGCCTGGCTAATTTTTGTATTTTAGGTAAGGATGGGGGTTTCTCCATGTTGGCAGGGCTGGTCTCAAATTTCCTGACCTCAGGTGGATCCAGGCGGCTTCACCATCCGCAAAGTGGCTGGGGTTACAGGCATGAGCACCACTGCGCCTGGGTCCAAATGCATTTTCTAAGGCGTAAGAACATTTTTATTTCTACATACCTATATACCATTTACCCTAAGTATGATTTTTGTTTCATCTGTGTCTTTATTAATACTAATTTAAAATAGTACGTATATTTCTGGTAAACCTTCTAACTAATGGTGGAGGAGGAGCCCCATTTGCTTAAAAGCATATATTTTAAATGAATTCTCTGCAATTCTGTTTTAAAAATAAAAAGCTTGGCTGGGGCGTGTGATCATGCCTATAATCACCAGTTACTTTGGAGGCCGAGGCAGATGGATCATGAGTCAGTAAGAGTCTAGATCACCCTGGAAACGATGAAACCCGTCTCTAGCTAAGGATTAAAAAAATTAGGCTGGCGTGGTGTGCCTGGGCCTGTAATCTGGGCTACTTGGGAGGGCGAGGCCAGGAGAATCAACTTGGAACATGGCTTTGATGTTAGTGGAACGTTTCCACTTTTTGTCTAGTTTATGCCATTTTTTTCGATACGTCCCAGAGAGAGTGATCTAA